GATTGTGCAAAATTCAATCATTCTCTCTCCAGCTCCATTTCTGTCACCAAGTCCATGTTTTCCAACTACTGAATCTTCTTCTCTCTTCCCAACTTTTGCATTCCAGTCACCCATTATTATCAGTGCATCTTGATTGTATGTTTGATCAATCTCTGATTTTAAAAGTTGGTTAAAGTCTTCTTTTTCCTCTTCCTTGGCTCTGGTTGTTGGTGTATATATCTGAATGCTAGTGGTATCCACTGGACTTCCTTGTATGTGTATGGATATTATCCTGTCACTCACAATATTGTACTTCAAGATGAATCTAGCAATGAATTTCTTAACTGTGAAAGCAAGTCCATTTTTTTCTTGCCTTTTCATCTCCAGAGTAATCTATCATATGATCATCTGGCTTAAAATGCCCCATGCCATATGAAATATTTTTAAACTTCTATTTCTGAGACAAATCTGAGAAGAATTTTGTGTAAATCCTTTATATCTGACATACGTAAATTTAAGATGACCAATAACTTTTTATCATTAAAAATATGCCTCAAAGTTGTGTTCTTTCTCTATACATATTTAATCTATATGTTGAGAAAATACTTTGAGAAGCTGACCTCTTTGAAGAAGAATGTAACATCAGTGTTGCAGGAACACTCAATGACCTTTGGGGTGCAGATGACACAATCGTGCTTGCTGAAAGTGAGGAGGACTTAAAGTATTTGCTATAGACGACCAAACACTACAGTTTTCAGTATGGATTGCTTCTTAATGTCAAGGAAACAAAAATTCTCACCACTGGATTTATAGGTTACATCATGATAGACGGAGAAATGTTTGAAACTGTCAATAGCTTTATCGTCTATCCACAATCAGTATGCTTGGGGTCAGAAATCTGGAGATCAGGTGACTTAAAACATTCAGAAAAATTTTCCACCAGGGACATCTTTAAATTATTGAAGAGCGCCGGGCGTGGTGGCGCGCGCCTGTAGTCCCAGCTACTCGGGAGGCTGAGGATGGAGGATCGCTTGAGTCCAGGACTGGGCTGTAGTGCACTATCCCAATCGGTGTCCGCAGTGAGTTCGGCATCAATATGGTGACCTCCCGGGAACGGGGGACCACCAGGTTGCCTAAGGAGGGGTGAACCGGCCCAGGTCGGAAATTATTGAAGAGCGATGATGTCAGTTTGAGAACTAAGATGTATCTAATTCAGGCTATGGTGTTTTCAATCACTTTCTATGCATCTAAGGACAATGAATAAAGATTACAGAAGATAATTTATGCCTTTGAATTGTCATGTTGATGAAGAGCACTGAGTATCTTATTTTGGATAGCCAAAAGAATGAACATATAGGTTTTGGAGAAGAGGCAGCTAGCATGCTTCTTAGAGGCCATGAGAACAAAGCTTCATCTCATATGCTTTTTGTCACGTTGCTAGGAGAGGCTCTCCTTGGAGAAGAGCATCATGCTTGGAAAGGTGAAGCGATGATGAAGGAAAAGAAGACCCTCAAGTAGGTGAATTGACACAGAGACTGCAGCAATGTGCTTGAATATGTCAGAGATTGTGAAGATATCACAGGATAGGACAGGGCTCAAATTTGTTGCTCATAAGGTCACTGAGTTATACACAACTCAAAGGCATCTAACAACAACAACAACAACAACAACAACAATTATATTGTTAAAATTTGAATTGATGTTATGCCCAGATCTGCATTCTTCAAAATAAGGCCTTTGTTTGTAAACATGCAACTAGAGTTCAAAAGGAGTTAAATGAATGATCCAATTGAGAGGAAAAATAAAGGTGTGCAGAGCAGAATACATATAGGCATTGTTGAGAAGGTTAATTTAGTTTCATTAAATGCATTTCCAAGATTGGAATTCTTGAATTTATATGATTACCCTGATGTTTTATCAGCAATGAGTCATTTCTTTCTCCTCATGTCTTGTTTCCACTTGGAACAGTTTCTCTGAAGATTAAAATTCCTTATATATTATCAAATTCTTAAAACCTTTTTCCTTTACAGATTTTTCATCAAATTTAACTGATTATCTATTAAATGGCAAGTTCTGTGCTGTTACTGGAGGAGTTTGTACGTTAGGATAAATCATCCTGTTTGAATGCAATAAATCCTTTCTAGTAGAATCTATTAGGTTGACGTGGTTGGATTAACTTTCTTTCAAAAGACTCTCGTGTGATTGGAGTCTATTCTTCTATTCAGGAACAATTGTAACAAGAGCATTTAAGAAATGCAATTTAGAAAAGGAGAAAACAATTAATACATACATTTGTAACATGTCATCCCAGTTACAGAAAATGAAATGTTATTAAATGCAAACAAAAAAATAGTTAAATTCCTCTTCAACAAAGGGTGCTGGCAAAACTGGACTGTTACCTGTGGGAGACTGAAACAGGATCCACATCTCACACCACACAAAAAAATCAACTCAAGGTGGATCAGAGACCTGATGTAAAGCTGAAAACTATAAAGGTCATCAGGGACAAACCAGGATCAAGCTTAGATGGGCTAGTCTATGGTTTAAAGAGATTGCCTAATACAGCCAGAAATACACAATCTGGAGAGGATAAAATTGTTGAATGAGACCCTCTAAAGACTAAATACCTATGTGGATCAGATTTTTTCCAACAGAGTGAAAAAGAAAACCTACTAATTGGGGAGGGGGAAACCCCACTTTTGGAAAAACCATTTTAGACAATGGTATTATAACAAAAGTATACAAAATCCTATAGGGCTTCCATAAGAAAAAGACTGATTACACAATTGAAAAATGGGCAAAAGGCATGGCAAGACTTTGCACAGAGAAAGATATTCAGATGGACAACAGACACGTGAAGAAATGCTCAAAGTCACTGGTAATAAGAGAGACGCAAATAAGAAAAAAACCACATTGAGATACCATCTCACCGCAGTAGCTGTGCTGGAGTTTAATAGGACAGCAAATAATTAATGTTGGAGAGGATGTGGAGATGTAGAAACTCTTATATGAAAATATTGTAGAAACATAGAAATTCCATATGACCCAGCTATTATACTCCTTGGAATTTACCCCAAAAAATCGGAACTGAAGCACAAATGGATTTTGTACATCAATGTTCATAACAGCATTATTCACCATTGCAAGAACATAAGATAAGATTGTCCAACTACAATTTAATGGATTGAGAGAGTGTGTTACATTTACACAATGGAATACTATGCACCATGCAGGAGCAATGGTTTTGAAAATCGCTACCTAACTTGGGATGGTCTGGAGAGCATTATGCTAAGAGAATTAACTCAATTTCATGAGAACAAATACCAGGGAGCTCTGGTGGCCTAGTGGGAAGAGCTGAGCTGCAATCCCAGTGGTATGCAGTTCGAATCCACCAGATGCTCTGCTGGAGAAGGAGGGGCAATCTTCTCCTGTATCAGTCAAATCTGATCTGATGGTACAAAAATAAAACAAACAAACATAAGGGCAAATACTATACCAGACCATTGTGTTGTTGTTGTTACGTGTCGTCGAGTCGCAGGCAACACATAGTGACCCTATGAAGGAGAGTCCTAGACACTTGGGTGCCTTTCATCCTCTCTCCAGGTTCATAGGGTTTCTGGAAGCAAGCTATTATGGAAGTGGATGCCACTCCACCTTCCAAGCTTGTTTTAATATGAGAGCTCCACTCCACTGTCTGTCTGCATTGGATAGCCAACCATTAACGCATTTGACACATCCGTGTCACGGTGTTAAGCCTCAAAGCAACCACAAGTGACCACGGTAAGGCAACTTGTACACCAGGGCTATACCACCTAAAGGAATGTCTGAACAAAAACAATGAAAGAGGCCTGAGGGCTGCAGATTAAAAGACACCAACCTTCGGCTTGGTACCATCACCTTCTGACCAGACCATTATTGTAGAAAAAGATAACTAGGAAAACCTGTATGAGGATCTAAGAGGGGAGGGAAGTAGCAGAAAAGTGAGGATGGGCAGAGTAATCACAGTGTCATACAATTTGATAGGTGGAGGGTAAAGGAAATAAAGATCTAGTGTGAAAAACAAAGTATATACACTTTTTGAATAAACCAGTATAAAATAAAAACTTTATTTAAAAAATATTAGTTAATTTAAGCTCTGTAACAAAAATTGACGTGGAAATTATAGAACATTGTCATTGATATCACATGCAAGCAAGATTCTGCTGATGATTATCCAAAAATGACTGGAACAGCACATCAACAGAGAACTGCCACAAATCCAGGCTGGGTTTAGGAGTCATGGTACTAGGGATATTATAACTAATGTTAGATGGATCTTAGCTGAAAGCAGGGAGTACCAGAGGAATGTCTATCTATGTTTCATTCACTATGCCATGGCGTTTGACTGTGTGGATCATAACAAACTGTGGCTGACTCTGAGAAGAACGGGAATCCCAGAACATTTGATTGTGCTAATGCGAAACCTATAGTTGGACCAGGAGGCCGTGTCAGAACAGAGCAAGGAAACACTATGTGGTTCAAAATTAGGAAGGGTATATACCAGGGATATGTCCTATTTCCATACCTTTTCAACCTATATGCAGAACAGATTATCTGGGAGGCTGGTCTATATGAGGAGAAATGTGGCATCAAAATTGGTGTAAGATTCATCAACAATCTATGTTATGCAGATGACACAACTCTGCTTGCTGAAACTGAAGAGGACCTGAAGTGCTTGCTGCAGAGGGTCAAGGACTGCAGCCTTCAGTATGGACTGAGGCTCAATGTCCAGAAGACAAAGATTCTCACCAATGGGCCAATTGGCAGCATCAGGATGGATGGTGAAGAGATTGAGATTGTTCACAGCTTTAGTTTACTTGGCTCCACAGTCATCACTCTTGACACCAGTAGCCAGAAAATCCAAAGACGTATTGTGATGGGAAAGTCTGCTGTTAGGGACCTCTCCGAAGTACTGAAGAGCAATGATGTCTCTCTTGAGACTAAGGTGTGTCTGATACAGGCCATGGTCTTTGCAATCACTTGTTATGCATCAGAGAGTTGGACAATGACCAAGGAGGATAGAAAGATAATTGATGCCTTTGAGCTGTGATGCTGGAGAAAAGTACTGAGAGTACCATGGACTGCTAGGAAAACAAAAAGACTCATCCTGGAAAGGGTTAAACCAGGCGGCTCCTTGGAGGCAAGGATTCTGAGGCTCCGTCTAACATACTTTGGACATGTTGTAAGGAGGGACCGGTCCTTGGAGAGAGACATCATGCTTGTTAGGGTGGAGGGACAGCACAGGAGGGGAAGTCCCTCTATGAGGTGGATTGATTCAGTGACTGGGATAATCAGGATGGGAGTGTCAGAGACATTATGATTGGCACAGGACAGAACAGAGTTTAGGGCTGTTGTACATAGGGTCGCTATGAGTCGTAAGCAACTAGATGGCACATAACAACAGCAGCAACTGATTTACTTTCTAAGTTTGTATGCATTGTTTTCACAAAAGACCTTTCCCGTTTCCTTTACCCATTCCTCCCTCCACCCATCAAATCGTGTGACACCATGATTACCACCCCTCCCCCATCTTCACCCCTCTGTTACCCCTAGCCCCCTTGAATCCTTTTTACAAGTCATCTATTTCTACAATAATTATCTTGTACAGTATTTGTCCTTACAGAACTGAGTTAGTTCACATAGTGTAATGTTCTCCAAGTTAGTCCCTCCCAAGTTAGGTAGTGATTTTCAAAACCATTGCTCCTGCGTGGTGCATAGTATTCCAGTGTGTGAATGTACCACACTTTCTCAATCCATTAAATTGTAGTTGGACATCTGGATTGATTTAATGTTCTTGTGATGGTAAACAATACTGTTATGAATATTGGTGTACAAATCTCTGTTTGTGCCTCAGTTCTAATTTTCTTGGGTAAATTCTGAGGAGTGTAATAGCTGGGTCATATGGAATTTCTATGTTCAGCTTTTTGAGGAAACACCAAACTGCCTTCCAGAATGTTTATAGCATTTTACAATCCCACCAACAGTGTATAAGAGTTCTTATCTCTGCACACCCATGTTTATCGAACCTTTGATCATAATAGCAAGGAGTTGGAAAAACCTAAGTGCCCATCAACAAACAAATGGATAGAGAAGCTGTGGTATATTCACACAGTGGAATATTATACTGCATTGAAAAACAAGGAACTCGAGCAATATTATTCAAGATGGTGACCCTGGAGGACATTATGCTGAGTGAAGTATCTCAGTCACAAAAGGACAAATACTGCATGGTGCCACTGTTGTAAAACAGGACCTACA